ACCTGTCTCTTCCACATAATGGGGAAGGCCAGGTGTGAGTTTTGTATTCTGCTTGCAAGAAGCTCTTCTGTTTGTGTGGCTGGCCAGAGTGAATGTCACCAGAAATTAAGACAATCTCTTGCCAGGGATCAGACAGGTGGCAAACAACAACTCTCAGGAAGCTCAGTGGGGGCGGAAGCAGACCCCAGTGTCTCTTGACTGAGACCATATATACCAGACTGCAAATCAGTCTAGACAGAATGACATTCTTTTCAGATCTATGGCTCTACCAAGGTCTACTGCAAACCATGACAGTGATAGGAGAGATCACAACTGCCTAAGATATGTGCTACAGCATTTACATATTGCTAAGCACTTCTAAGTTGAGCTCTTTATGCAATCAATGGGGAAACATCACCATGCAATCGTTTTCATTTTCTGCAAAAAGCCTACAGAATACCTAATTTTGGGATCTAAGAAATTCCCAGGTTGACCACAGGTCTAGTTTTGCCCCAAAGCTACCAAACAATGGGACTTGCCTCTTCAGCAGTGCAGAAGAAAACAAAGAACCCTTACTTTAACAAAGCTCATTCGAATCGTACACATCTTGGTGAGCTCATACACCACTTCAAACCCATGATTGACCGACTGGGCGAGCAGCTGGGCAAAGAGCTGGTTGTTGAAGATCTTGAGGCTGCAGCCACTGGGGATCTTGCAGACGGTGGCTGGGTGGAAACCGTGCTGGTAGTTGCAGTTGCGGCTCTGCACGAAAATGCTGCTGTCACTGACACACTCAGCATACACCTCCCCTCCAACATAGTAAAGGTGAACACCTCGAAGAAGAAAAAATAATGTACATTACTTCTCCATTGTTCCAAACAGTAATTCTTTAACTGTTTTACTAGTGTGGGCATGCAGGCCCAGGATCTTTCCAGGCTCTCGGTGCCTATGCGTGGCTTTGTAGAAGACAGTAAACTGTGCACCTCTACAATGGACCCCCTACAATTAAGAGGACATTGTCATAAACACCATTTCAAGGTACTCATCTAGGAGAAAAGTCTTGGCCCATGGTACAAGTGCATAGTACTTTACATATCCAACAGCACAGTACTTTACAAGACACACACATATATATCAAACCTGTAGCAGCCATATGTAAAGCGTGGATCCAAACTGTCAGAGTTGACAAATCTGTTGTGCATTACTCATCTGAAGGTATTTTCATTGTTGATCACGTGCATGCTGACCAAGACCCACATCACTGCATGCTTTTTACTATAGGATCCTGTCTCATCCCATTCAAACACAGCATGGTGTGTACTTAAAGTAGCTTTTCTGTATTTTGCTTTATCCACAAGAAACCCATGCATTTGTATTTATGTGACATGACTTACTCATCAGATCATGTTCAAAGTGACCTTCAGCAAGAAAATGACTGATTTCCTTCTAGACTTTTCAGTGCCTAAGAGACTAACCAACACTAACTCTCAGCTTTTTGGTGTGCCTTGGGGAAATGAAGATGGAAGTGTTCCTATCCATTCAAAGACTCTGGTCCCCTCAGGATGTCTGCCTGCATGAAAATGTACCTATACTTGTGGAAGAATTTATCTTAGCCCAATTCAACAACCTTGAAGTTAGAGATCTTGTGTAAGCTAATTTTGTGGATGCCTTCTGCAGTTGACAGATGCTGAGAGGCACGGTGACCAGATGATTCACCCCACCCAGTACAGAGAGCAGGCTCACAGCCAGCTTACACCGATGGCAGGCTGTGCAGGTGCTGAAAAGCCTCCCTCCTTCCCTGCCCCTGCTGCTTCTTCCCAAAACTGCTCTCATGCTGGCAGGGATGGCTGGGGATCGGGCAGCCAGCCAGATAGGGGAAACTGAACCAGCTAGTAAACTTAAAACCAAACAAAACCAAACAGGAGAAGATTTATTTGCAGCAGGATCTTCACCAGTGTAAGCGTGGCAATGGGGACCCAGACTCCTCAAACATAAGCATGAAAACACACCCTGAAGGGGGCCAAGTCATCCTGTGAAGATGCCTAGACATTCAGCCTTCCCATGGGTAGATTAGGTGAGATGAGCACCTCCCAGGGCCAAGAGAGGTGGAAGACCTCAGTTCTTTGTTCTCATAAAAACCACCACTAAATAAAAAGAAAATTCTCCTCTCTATTCCCAGGTATGGCATTCAAACTCTCACATACAAATGCACATGTTCACAGAGTCTCAGTGGACTGCCTGCAAAGCTAGTGATAACTATGCTTTAATAATTCAGTTGTAATTAGGTTTATTCCTCTTGTCTTTCATATAAAAAAGACTGGTTACATATTCCCAGTCTGTTCATCATTCTGTGGTCATGACAGCAAGGGGCAGCAGCACATCCTTAGGACAAAACCTAAGTGGGAAAGGCTTGGGGAAAAGCAGGTTGAGTGGGAAAGGATCTGGGAAAAATACACTCTCCCATAGACTTCCAAGGTGACTCAGATGGGAACCTTAAAGTCTGTCTTCAAGCCATCACTTGACTTTTCCTTCTATGCACCCACGAGGTCTCAAATTAGGCGTGAGTGGCGGGGGGTGTGGCTCAGAGCACACACTGGTATTGCACTGGGAACACTGGTGAGATGACAGCTCCTTCAGACCAGCTGCCAGCTCCAGTCCAGCTGCACCAGACATTATGGGATGCTGCACATTGTGACTGCTATTACTTGACCTATGTCTCCTTTCCCTTCTGAGGAAGGTGGATAAAAGGGAAGGACTGAAAGCACGAAGGCCCTAGATGACCTTGGTGGAGTCCATGTAACTTTCTGCAAAAAACAGAATGAGAACACAGGGTAGAGAGAAAAGAATAAGGACATGAATATTCACCACATTTCAGATCTTCAGGTGTAGTTACTGATTTATGGTGACCACACTTTTGGGTGCTGAGGTGAAAAATTCTAAAGGCTGGGCTGACTTTTGGAGTGTATTGACTAACCCAGCTTCTGAAAAAAATTAATACTTTCAAAGGCACTGCCCAAACTCTGTATTATAATAACAAAAATACCAAAGTCAGTTCTGAGAGAGAGACTACAATTTGCTTTTTCCTTGTGGACTTTTTAAAGGCAATAGACACAGCAGTGTGTATTTCCATTCTTTTGGTATTCATTCACCAAAGACAAGCACCCTCAAGGAAGCCAAGTAGCTGAAGACATATTTGTAGTAGACTAAATCAAGGGTACATATGTTTTAGTGGGATTTCATTGCCCTCTGCAGAAACTGGAAATGCAGCAGTCTCCAAGCATCCACATCTTTTTGACACTCTGAAGTCCCCTTTTGTCCTTGAAGTCTGACTGCTGAAACAGGTCCAATTGCTAGTAGATGTTGCATTGTGTTCTGGATTGTTTTTAGCTTTGATGTGGTATTTCCAGGAAAGGGTTTCACGCTGATACACTAGATGACAATTCAATCACATATCCTTATCCTACTGAGCTAATCTTGTTTACTTACTCTTTTTTCTCCCTTGTTAACATGTGACAATTGTATCCATTTCAGTAGCTTTCATCTGTCCAGCACGCCTTTGAACTACACACTTTTGGAGCTGCTCTGTGTTCTTCTGCAGGCCTGTACTGGTGCCACTTCTACTCCACTTGAACTTGTTTTTTTTAGGATTTGCATAAACAGGGAAGAGCAGTAAAATTAAGGATCTCTGATATACTTAGCTCCTCTCTGGACAACCTGCTCCCTTCCCTTGGGCAGATTTCTAGGGTAAGACTTTAAAGTGATTTTAATCAATGAACACAGATCTTCAGATTTGAATGGATGGGGACCATTAGCATTTACCTCATATTCTTTCTGTTCTGCTTCTTCCTCTTTTTGGGCATAAAGTCACAGGATGTAACATCCTCCATTGACAGCTTTGACTGGGATCTTTTGTCATTCTCCTTTTAGGGCCAGGCTCAGCTTTGATCTACACACTTCTGACAGCTTATGCTGATAGAGAAGCTTTGCTTTATTTTCTGAGTAAGTTAGAACAAGATGTACAACTCTTTTCCACCCCTCACAACACACACCTATGACAGACACTCAAAGCATCACACTGGCTTCACACCATGCATCTGCAACACAAGTGCCTTCCCTTCCAGAGAAAAGTGCAAGAGCCAGCTGCAACATCTCCTGAGCTTCACATTCAGTGTTGTTTGTAAAAACTATGTCACACTTGTCTCAGGGCTTCCTCACTTTCAGTCATTCAACACTAGACTATCAAGAGCCAATTAAAATACTGCTCTAGGCCTGGGAAATGAGGTGAGGTTGACAAGATAATAGGAGTGGAACAATTAGAGTTAATTAGCCCAGTGGGAAATCCATTCCCAGGCAGCTACTGGTGAGAGGCTGGGTTGGCAAGACAATGAGTCTAGACTGGATATACCAGAACAGGCAAAGCTTCATCTGCACAGAGAAGTGGCCAGTACAGGGCTTCTGACTCACTGGCACAAACAACAGTGTGTTCTGGGAGAGTATCAGGCCCTACACAGCCCTAGTGAGCTGGGATGGCCACGTGTGTCCAGGTGTGGTCTCCTCACACTTGTCACCAGCAGCATATGATCCTGCATGCGCAGGGTTTATGTACACCAGAAGTGGAGCACACGAGGAGAACTGCTGGAAGGAGAATCCAAGACTTAGTTTTACTGGTGAGGAGCTGACAAGGCAGGGAATCTGACTGGTAGGGGGGAAAAAAGCTACGCAGGCAACTCTGGTAGAGTCCTTCAGCCAAGTAACTCAACTACTAAGATCTCCTTTTGTTATTCGGTGGGAGGAGAACCAGCCCTGAGGCACCAGCAATTATCCTTTTAGTGGCATTTCAATGGCAATATTCCCAGTTGCCAGAATCTCTAATAAATTAAATGAAAATACATACTGCTAAATTAGAACACGCAACTATAAACATCATTTTTCTCTTTGCTGGCCTAGTAAATAGCTTTTGTAAGGAGCTCCTCTGCTGAGTGTTAGCCAGTCAGAAAAGAATCAGCTGCTTTTCTTCTACTTCAGAAGTAATCTCAGAGCTTTGGTTTTAAGACAAGCATATCTGACAAATCAGCTAGGTTTGCTTAGGCAATACATGGCTCTTTGAAGCTCTGAATATTTCCAAGGAGAAGGGATTTCCTCTTACCTTTTCCTATGTGTCTCCTGGTGTTTTCTATAGTAGAGTTGCGGTTTACATTTGAGAGCAGTCCCAGGCAGAACCTGTTCTTGTTATTTGAGGGATCTGTAAATCCATCTATAAGGATACTTCGAGAGGAAGCCTGGAAAGTCTCCCCTACCCGGTTGTTGAGTTCATAGTAGGCAACTGAGCACCAGTGTTGAGGCTCCTCATAGCAAACAGGCCGAAAGTCTGCAGGAAATCAAATTCATCAGCTGCTCAGCTCTCAGTAATATTTTTTTACACAATCATTCTGTTTTTTTTTTCCTCCCTCCCACTCCCACACCCGTGGCTCTTATCTGAACAGTCACTTAGGTCATGCTTTATCTCAACAGTAGCTTCTCTTCTTAATTTTATAACTGAAGCCCCAAATATGCCAAGGGTCAGTATACCAGCTTAACTGTAAGCCTCTGAGGGGTCCCACTTGTTCTTAAAAGCGATAACTCCACTGCATTAAATTAAGCACACGCTGACATTCCTTGCTGAACTGGGGCTCAAGCTCTACCCTGAAAATAGTAAGGGATACATCTGCTCTGCACATCAGCAGGAGCTAAGGATGACAGATGGGCTCAAGGCGAGTCAAAACAGAGCCAAGCCTTCAGCCTAATACCAAACTCTCAAGTTCAGGAGTAATCAATCACTCCCCCAGTCTTTTGCATGCTTTGGGGCTTTCTGCTTCAAGTGGGACCGTCAGCAGAAATGTCAGCGAGGTCATTTCTTTTGGGTCTCCTCCTGCCCAGGTTTTCTAACTCAGAAAGGTTAAAAAATGTAACAGAATCTCTGAGCCTCATTCGTCATACAAGAATTAGTGGGAAACCTTATCCCGCCTGCCCATCACAAGCACGTCAGCCTCCCTGCCCCCAGAGCACCTCTGTGCATAGCCTCTAATAAACTTCCAACAAATATTCACTAGGGCAGTGATCAGGGAGGTAAACTATGCTAAAGAGATTAAAGTATCTTGACAATTTATGTAGAAGTACTGGTGTCTGATGACCAGTTATTATCTGGCCATTCTGTGTACCCATCTGTAATTAGCACTATCACCCTCATCCTTCTGCCCCAGTTCTGGGGTAGATACATGTTCTTCTCTGTTTCAGAAGGCTGGCATTATTCCTTTAATCTGGTTGTGTGTGCAGAGTGTTCAGTCTCCATGTCGTAAAAGACATTTGTTCAGGGCTATGATATGCTGGACTAAAAGGAAAATGGTGATTTTTCCTTTGCAGCAGCAGGAAGCCAAAGGAAAACCCAGCAGAGGAATTTCATTTCCCCTTGCTGACCTGCAGCAATGGGCACTGAACAGTGGAGGCACCACCTGGCATTACTAGTCTGGAGGGAGCTGGTGAGGTCATGAAGTTGCTTTGAGTGGAGAGAGGAGGAACCCAGACCCTTCTACTCTGACCACCTCTTCCACTAAAGGACTGTTACATGAGGACAAAGGGTTTGGCCTTCTGTAAAAATCTCTTTGCACATCACTAGAACATATTCTTTTCTCTTCTAGCCAGTCAGTAATGTAACAGGAATACAAAGATGGTAGTAAGAAAGGTCCCAACCACAAGGCTTTAAAGTACTTGAAACCCAAAACTGAAGGTGATAAAGAAATCAGTTTTGATATTGATAGTGCTCTTGTGTGTTACATTGCCTCACTATCCTTGATCTGATATCTTTGTCATTACAACGTAGATAACAGTGTTTGCTTTCATTGACAGCTTTCTAACCGTAATAGTTCATGGATGTAAATAAGGCCTAAACTCTGTAACTTGACACATAATTCACTGAATTCTTCAATCAACCTGTTTGCCTAGCTAATGTACAGGTCTAGTACACAGCCTCACTGCAAAACTGTCTGAAACCTATTACTACAGACACTGAACCCTCCTATTCAAACAACAGGTTTTTGCTTAACATGTTTTTTGTGAAGAATAGTACAAATGGTTATTTACTTTCAGCTTCTCCATCGGCATGTTTACCTCCGTTGGGTAAAGACAGCACCAGTTGACTTTCAGCTATGGCATCCATTGATCGCCCGTTGTGGGTTCCTGGGGGTTCTCTTGCATGGTAAGGTGGGGGTGGAGTTTCCACTATTAGAAAGAGGGAAAGAAAGAAAAAGAAAGAAAATATTCACCCATCAGCACGTTGGTAAATTATCCCCAGCTTTTCCTGGTGGATACTTAACTTCTTCAGTACTATTTAGCTAGAAAAGGACTGGAACCTAAGCACAAACCTGAACATAACCTCCCTTCATTCTCCAGATTGAGAACATTACATGTTCAGGGAGGACAGGAAGGAAGTGGTGTCATGATGGGCACGCTGCACTTGAAAGAGAGTTAGAGCAGTGCCTCAGGCATACACCAGTGTCCAGCCAAGCTCTCTGTTAATACCAGTTGTTACCCTAAAAAAGTAACACAGTCTGATCCTGCAGTTCCACATTTCTCTGGAAAATCTAAAACTTCAAGAGGATGATTCAAAAGCAGCTACCTTTAATTGATCCTCTGGGAGAAAGCTCTCTTTCTTCACAGGCTGTTAAAAAAAGCCTATGGAAAGCCTTCACACTCTAAAATCAGACTTGGCGAAACTCCCTCCAGATTTGAACAGAAACTCCGTGAGTTTATATATAAATTAGAGCCATATAAAAGCTTGCAGGACTAAAGGTCTCTTTAAGAAGACCAGGGTTTAACTTGGTTCCAGGCTGAAATTTCCCCTTGTGTTCAGGGTCTGCTGGCTGGCCCTCAAAACAGCAACTTCATCCAAAGTAGGTAAATGTGGACTGCCTCACAAGACAACCATTGAATCTCCCAAGTAAGTAAAGTAAGTACTGCACAGAAATGTTATTCTATTTAAGCACTGCTCAGGAATTAGGAATTTCATACATTATATGATATTTCTAACATACAGATGTCATAACGCTTCCACAGAAAATGCAACAAGCTAGAATAGTAAAATTAAGAAAGAGTGGAAGATAATACAAGTCACAGAAGGGAATATAATGTGGTTGTACAGGTATTTTTGATGTTTATGCCTAAGCTAGTCACCATAATCTCTCCTTTTACCCACTAAAGAAAAACAAGGCCCTACAGACATGGTACATCCCAGCTACTGGAGACATATATCTTAAGATGCAATGAATCTTGTTCTAGGAGTGCCTGGATTTCTCCACTGATTACAGAAAGAGTACAGGCAGTTGTATGAGATGTAGAAATTTGCATTGTTTACATCTATATTGGGTCACACCAACCCCACTCAAGGTTTTTGATGTAACTCCAGTTTGCTTTAGACAGTCTTCCATCCCTGGTTGTTAAACAGGCAAATTCTGCTTATCAGCATTCCGTGTGCTGTGATATACTGGAGCTCAAGTTGAGCCATTTCCATTTTTAAGTAGCTTTGCAAGGTCCCAAGTTCAGTTAAAAGCAAGAGTCAGAGTCATTACACAGATGGAGTGGGCCTGACCTACCTGTCAGGACCAGCTCTACTGAATCTAACTCGGTTACACAGAGGTGAAAGAAAAAGATAGGAGAAGACAAACAAGTCCTGCTACTTGTTGAAATGTTTCAGTGTTGCTAAATACGATTTAATCTGAAGTACAGATCTAGAGAAGGCATGAATGAAGGTCCATGCAATGAATGGAGAGGGAAGGGAAAATATCACACTATGTTCAAAGTGTCCAGCTTAAAACAAAGTTCAAATACAACAAATGCCTTGTAAAACTAAATACCTTTCTTATGCTTAAAATCAAAATAGGCATATCATTAAGGACATAAATTTAAATCATATGCTTTGTAGTTTAGACATTAAAACATTAAGTTACAAGATCCTGACCTGAATTTATCTTTGTGAAAAAGCTGAGAACACTGAGACTATTTGAGAGTTAGAACAAAGTGCAGAAGTGAATTTGAATGATGTTTTGGTATTAAAGCTAGCTCTCAGCTTTGTTGCATAAAATCTTCTTGGTATATTCAACAGCAAAAGCACAGTTAAATTCTCAGGTAGTTACAGCAGTACTAAATAAGGAGTTCACAACAGAAACAATCTGAGTGACAGAACTTTGTTGACCTCAAAACTGTTGAGCTGATGAAACACGTTCCAAAGTCAAAGGAATTTGCCTGATGGCTTCACCAAGTGTTGGGCCAGATTGTTAAACACCTTAATTTCCTGAAGTTTATATAGTCAGTGAGATTATTGTACATTAAAAACTATTTCTGCATACCAATTTCCCCTTTTTATCCTGTCTCTGTTGATGGAGTTTCTAAAGGTCCCAACCCTGATCATCTCTATTAGAGGTGCTGCAGCTTAGTTGTTGCAAGTGCCCTTCTCTGTGGATTCTATCAGAAGGTTGGATGGGCACCTTTAGGCAAAAGGTGGCCTGGTAGAACTGCTCCTCTCCTCAACCTCCCCCTTAGAGTAATCATGAAATCTTCTCCAGGCACTTCTAGAATGACTACAACTCTTGGTCCCTTGAACATCCAGTAGAAGACAGCATCCTGGGAGACAGTGCTAAGAGACAGTCACAAGAAATGGCATTCCAATTCCATCCTGACCAACAGTTCAATCTGTAGCTGCAGCCTGGAGGGAACACACAAAACTGGCAGCTGACCCCAGGCCCTGGCAAGAACCTCAACTGCCTCATTTGGGATGTCTGAAAATTCATTCTCACCCGTGAGCTGATAGGGACTTCCTGGTCCAGAGGAGCTTCCTGGCGAGTTGGGGTAGCTGATGCTGTTAGGTGACTGGGAGAACATGTGGCTGGGTGATGATGGAAAGGGGGTGCACGGAGGATGCTGGAAGGAATCAGGGTAGGTGGCATTGTGGGGCATCAGGGGCTCGCTGTGCAGGGAAGTGTTCCGAAACTTGGCGAGGAGGCTGAGGTGAGGGTTAAACTCACTGTGTCTTGGAACGAGTACAGGAGGTAGGACTGAAAATAAGAACAAGAACAGAGAAAGAAAAATCTGGTTACAACTGCACTCTTGAAAGTACATCTCTTTGTAAGTTAAAAAGAAGCATATTCCATGCTGCCCAAATTTTGCTGCCTATATACACACAAGTGAAACACAATATACAAATATACAACAAGCTTCTCTAAAAACAAGAATCAAAAGCTGACTCTTGGACTGTTTTTCTTCCAGATTGGCAACAATTCCAAATGCAAAATATGGGCTCATTCCTGACTTGAGCAAGGTACCATAAAATTCACAGGTACAGTATGCACTCACAGCCCTCTTACAGAAATGCAAGTGGCACATTTCTCCCTCTCAAAATTACCTATTCCTTCCTTCCTGAAAGACTGAACACGCCAGGAGTTTGCTAAATATTATCACCAGGATTTGTCAAAACCACAGTCAATTTTAATAACAATTAGCAGTGCTCTGCAATACACTGCATATTTCACTGCCAGTGTTTTACAGATGGGCCCAAGGAAGCAGAGACCTGAAGCTAGATTCCAGACTTAGAACATTTTCAGGTACTTGAAAATGCTGCCAGCCAGACAGTGGGATCCTTAAAAGGAAATGTAAAAGGCAATTCAAATATTGTTGCAATATTAATTTAGCTGTTGCAATATAGTTAGAAAAGATCTAGCATGAGGAGACAAATGTCAATGTTTGGTAGCTAAGGCATGAAAAATATGGGTCAGAAATTGAAATTGAAACTCATCCATGTAAGGATTGGTCTAATGGAAGACACTGCCTCTCTTCACAAACTCTCTTCACTTGCATCTCATGCTGGCAGTGCTGCTATCAGCATTGCTGCACTGAGAAACCAAAGCTGACACAAGTTATCCTGTATTCTGACATATCAGGAGCCAGAGCAGAATTTGAGTTAAAACACTTCAGAAAATCCAACTCGTGAGTTACCTCTGAAGATACAGCCCCTTGGCTGGAACACAGAGGCTTGCTAAACAGTTCTGCACCTGAGAGTTCAACTGAGGCTTTCACTGGGTTTAACTGTAGTCACCTGAGGGGAGAGCAGGACCTACAATGGGTGACTTGTGTACCCCAACATTTCTCCATTAGCTACTAGCTCACATAGTGCCTAATTATCTTTGCTGAGGCCTTAAACTCAGGCAGGGAGAATGAATCCCCAGTGGCTATCGTGCAGATCTAAAAGCCACCAGAGAAGATAAGGAGGCAATTTGAGTTACTGTGACAAGGATGAATTGTCCCAACACCAGGAACAATTCAGCAGGCTTGTATTGATTGACCTAGTGTCCAGAGTTCCTCTGGCCCGAAACCCTGCAGCATCTCATCCTTCAGTCTGTCCTTACCAGCTTATGGGAACAAATGGCAGTGGGCACTCCTGGTTACAAATGCTGACAGGAATATATGGTTTGAACGTGTTTTAACACATTGGGCCCAAAAGCTCTGTCTAGGTATGGCCAGTTCTTTTTAGTTAGGGTGGCTAACACCTTTTAATTACAGTGAACTCTCATTAATTCAGTGTAATGAAAGAGTGCAGTAACTGCTATAAAGGAAATAATATATAGATAATGCAAAACATGTGCATGAGAAGATGCTGTAGGAGCACCCTCCCTGGAATGCACCCGCAGTGCACATGGACTGCCCAGAGAGCTGGGGCAGTGCAAGCAGCAGGAGGACCAGTGCCTGGTACCAACAGCAGCTTTACAGCTTCTTGCTTCATGGAGCACTCTGCTGCAGCTGAGGCAGGGCTAAACTGCCCTCCTGCCCACCCACTGGCATACACCATTTGGGATTTGCCAGTCACTCCATAACTGAACCCCAAAAATGTACAAAAGATTGGACTGATGACAGTAAGTTCACTGCAGAGGTCATCTTCTTACCTGCCTGGAAACCCAGGCACTGGGATACCTGTTAAAAGACTACACATAGACCCTTCCCTGGCCCAGTGCTTTCCTAATTAGCTCATGGTCAGCACAAGGATGGTGCTCTGCAAACTCCTTTCTTTCCTCCTGCCACCATCTGATATGCCCCTATCTGTGGGATGAAGATTTCTTGCCACCCTCTTAAATCCTTTGTTAGATAAAGGTATTTCTACTTCTGAGGAAGAAGTTCTTCCCCATGAGAGTGGTGAGACCCTGGAATGGGTTGCCCAGGGAGGGGGTTGAGGCCCCATCCCTGGGGGTCTTTAAGGCCAGGCTGGATGAGGCTCTGGGCAGCCTGATCTAGTGGGAGGTGTCCCTGCTCATGGCAGAGGGGTTGGAACTGGGGGATCCTTGGGGTCCCTTCCAACCCTGATAGATTCTGATCTGTTCTAGCAGAGGACTTTAGAGGCCTAATGGCTCAATGGTTGGACTTGATGATCTTGGAGGTCCCTTCCAACCTAAAGGATTCTATGATTCTATGATTCTTTGCTGCTGCTTTAACTTTTTGGATTTCCTGGACTCTCCAGCTGGGACTCATACAGGCAACACAGGTATCACATCTGAGATGCATTGTCCAGTCCCCCATGGATCTCTTCATAACCAGTGGAGAGAAACAGACTCTTCTGCTGCTCAGTTCAACTGCTCTATATTGGGACAAGACCAGTACCACCACTACAGATGTGTTTTTGGTGAGCTAGATCCCTCCCATTCAGTGCTCCTGTGAGCAGCCCCAGGCAGTGTGATGCTGCTGCTGTTTCTAGAGTTCTCCTCTGCTGCTCTGTGGAACTGGTCTGATGCTTGCAAGGTCTGCTGCTGCCCAGCCAGCTCTGAGCAGCAGTGTTAAAAAGCAGGGAACTGGTGAGCCCTTCACCCCCAGCAGAGGTGCTGCCCAAGGGACAGCTGTGCCATGCAGCACTGGGAGCCTGGCACCTCGTTGTGGGTACCGCAGCTAAGGAAGCGGCTTCCTCTCAGCCCTGTGAGAACTCAACACAACTCCTCTAAATGAAAGCTGAGAATCTGGATAATGTGAACAGCACTTGCCAGGCAAAGCCTTTGACTGGCCCTGAGTGAGTCAGCAAGAGGAATTTTCAAGCCTTGAACTCCTTCCCAGCTCTGACCAGGGTACTCTTAATTTCTGCTCTGCTGTACAGTTTTTGCCACCTCACTCAATCTTTCCACTGACTGCTCTGTGGCTGCCTAGAGGGCTAAACCCTCTGTGGTGGTGAGGAATTCAGATATTTTCTTGTTTGTGGCCAAATATTCCCCAGAGGGCCTTGTTCTTTTGGTAACAGATGTCACTCTCCAGGACTCAACCACTCTGAAGGAAGTGTGACCAGAGACACAAACCCGAGTAACTGTGTGCATTGGGATCTGTCTGTCCTCATGATTTACCTGCACTGTCCTCACTCAGTGGGGTCCTTTCCCTCTACCTGCTGCTCTTCACCAAGAGCCAGGGCTGGATCCTTCCTTCCACGCATGGCCAAGTGTTGAGGCTCTGTTCAGCTGAAGACAAACAGTTCAAATGTTCTGAGTTCTGCCACTGCCTGTCCTGCAGGAGGCTTTCTCCTGTTCCCTTTAGTCACAGCACTTCCTGCTGGAAACCTGGCTGCTCCCAGAGCCTGTGACTTCAGGTGCTAGCAAGCAAGCCATGCCCCACAGCTTAATTCCAGGTACAATATCCATACTGTGATTTCTCTCACATCAGGCATCTTTGCACAGTTCATTGTTTTTGGAGACCTACCCCTGGGTGTGATCCATCCATTCCCTATGACCATTCACAAACACCAAACACAGAGCCAACAGTGAGACCATCAGGTGGGAGACTTCCAGGTCTCACATCTTAGTCCCACTCAGACTTGATGAGGGCAATCAATTAGTCCAATTCAAAAGTTCATTTAGGCTCCTGTTGCCTACAGCAATGATGCACACTAGAATCTGCAGTGTCTACACAGGAATGATCTCATATAAAAATAATGGAGTACCTGTTCAGTCAACTTCTGTATTTTTCTGAAATGGCAGCTTCTCCTGGAAACAAACAAGGCAAACTCCTGACCAGCTCTTTGAGGCAATCCAATGCAGGGGGAAGCAGAGCCTAACCATTATACCTACTTCCCTTAGGCTAGGTAGCCTAGCCCCTCTCTGCAGTGGGATGCTGCACAAACAGAGGAAATATTTGCTGCTTTCTTCTAAATGGATGCAGCAGAGGAAAAGAAACCTCTGAATATCAGACCACAGTTTAAAGCTGTTCTCTTAGTAGTAGAGGTCTAGGGATCTGCCAAGGTATTAAAGAAAGGGTGAAGCTGTCTTTGACACAACTTACTCATTCTGAATAAAGATCTAGTCACAGAGTGGTTGACACAGCAAGAGAGAATGCAGTGATGGAAAGTGAGCCCCAAAAGGATGGACATAGGTAGGAAAATAATACTGGCCTGTGGATTATAAAACATGCACTGCTGACTAATTCATGGGTGAAATTCACTAATTCTTTGGCTCCAGAGGAGACTCAGAGAATCTCATATAAGCCTAAAATGACCAACAGCCAAGATGCAGATAAAAGAGGACTGCTGTTCAAACAGACTGCCACCTAGATCAATCGCTCCTGGGCTTTTCTGTGGTGGTCTCACTGCTACCACTTCCTCCTGGAGCTCTTTTCTTCTCATGCCTCACCACCACGTCCTTGCAGCACTGCTTTCTAACTGCCTCTGGCCTGGAGCTGCATTACTGCCCCTTGCAGTGGGGTAAGTTCTTTCCTGCCCCAGCACACCAGGGTAGGTTGTACTCCTTGCTGCACCTCATCTTTAGCAGTGACTAGTGTGTGAGCTCCAGCTTCCAAACGGTCCCCATAAGAGGAGAGGTAGGGGTGACTGCAACAGCCCAAGAACAATTCCTGGGTGCTGTGGAGATCTGGCACAGCACCGCTGGCATCCTCACACCTGCACTCCCTCCTACCTCCAAAACAAGGTGATCTGTGTCCAAAGTGCCCAAAGCCCCTCCTGTGGGCTAACCCCTGCCCCCTGAGAACTGCCAATCCATGTGAGCCCTCAGGGGCCAAAGCTGTGCCTGGGAGCACGCTACCAGTTCAGCAGTGCTCAGACCTGCACAGTGGCCACGTCTCATTTACTAGCAGAGATGTAGCCAGTCTGCCAGACAAACGATGTTTGTTCATCATTGGTTCACAGCTGAAACCTTCTGAGCTTCAGGGTCAGAGCAACAAGCTCTGGCAGCCATTTGGCAGCTGCTGGATTATCCCAGTGTTAGCTGAGCAGAAGACTGAGGCTGAAAACAGCACTGTGTAGGGCTGTCAGCTGCTGCACCGAGGAGGAGGCTCCATTAACTACACTGGGGTTACACCAGAAGATGCCAAAGACTGCAGCCTTCAAAGGGGAAAATACATAAAATGGGATATTTCATGAGCATCTTTTCTCTGTTTCTTGAAGAGTTTACTTTAGCAAGGCAGGAGATCAGCTCTTTCCACTGAAAACTGTTGACAACAAGCACCGCTCACTGCAGCTGTAAAATTTTAGTTGTGACAATGTTTACAGCAGTTCAGCTACAACTTCAGAATGACAGCTCCACTGCAGCCAAAGGGCTATCAGGAAAGGGAGCAGCTCCTGTTGCTTAACCAAGGTTCACAAATGTCTTGCCCTTATTTTACCTGTGTGAAGAGAAACATCCCACAGTTCACTTATCTGATCCTAATGTCACCTCAGAGTAAAGTTCATGCCAGACAAAGAGTAATCACAGAATAATAAGTATACACTTACCAACTGTAGCCATTAGTAAATTAAATTACTGTGATTTTTGGCAGCAAGAGAGAGCTAGGTTAGGCATTAGAAATCGTTTTGAACTGTAAGGATAGCAAAGCAATAGATTCACTTGCCTGGGGAGGTTGTGGAGCCTCTATCACATGGGATTTTTAGAGCTCATTAAAAAAAGATCTGTTAGGAATGTACCTGGCAATTTGTTTTGGTTTGGGAGCAGGGGCACAGAACAGTAGGATTGCTCAAGATCTCTGCCAGCCTTGCTTTCTAAGATCCCTATAGAAGACACCACTGAAGACTATAATTTTTTTAACAGCTGTTTCATTGACACAAAGCCCAGTTAAGTGGACCTTTCAGTGAGGTCATAAGTCTTCAGTCCAGTCTAAAGAAGATCATCAAGGGAAAAATTAGAAGTTTTATAGGAACCTGGGGGATTTATTTCACACAGACTATTCATTTAGGTCAGTATATCCCACTGAAGGCAGGCCACCAGGCATTTTAGGAAGAAACAGCTGATTGGGTTTCATAGCCACAAGGAAAATAAGCCATCTTCCTGCAACTCCACTCTCAGAAAGAGAGAGCCAGTGATGCATTTTTCCTGTGGATTAATGAGTTGATTGTTGGTTTTCAGACAATGGGACATAAATCTAGCCAGGGTAGCAAGTCTAGGATGGTGCCTCGACTTCATGCAAATAGACAGCAGTTTGCAGTGGGACAATTCAGAGGGCAGCCAGCACCCACCTCCATGGAGAGGAAGCTCAGCATCAGCAGCCGGGACAAGCTCCGCTCCGGGCAACCTCGGAGGTCCGATGGGATACAGAGCCCATGGGCACCCGAGGTGCTCCTTAACCCCTTCTCACCCCTGGCTGCTGGAGCTGTGATGCCACTGGGCAGGGAACGATCCAGGGAGGCTGCCTTTTCAGATTTCAGAGCACAGCTCTGGAGGATGCACCAAGCTGAGACCTGCCGGTGCAAGAGCTAACGGAGAGACAGGAATCATCTGCAGAGGATATAATTACCTGGGGTTTCCACCCGCCGGTAGTGGTAGGGGTTAATGCACACTTCTTTCTGCTTTGAGCCAAATGGGAACTCACAACATTCCAGTGGCTTGAGCTCGTGGTGAGACTGGAGATCAGGCCAGCGCCACACTCTGCAGTAGATGACGTGGGGAAGCCCCTTGCGGTGAGACACCTGCAGCCGCCCATCCAAGGAACGGGGGATGGTGACACATTTACTGGGCTGACCCGGGCAGCTCAGAGCCCTTTCCAGTTCTTCCATGGCACCTTTCTTCTTCTTTAACTTCTTCACCAAGGAATCAACAGCTTTTTCTGCCCACTTTTCCTCCTCATCTCCTTGTTTCCAGCCCAGCAGCCTTTTCACCGCAGGGCTGGTGAAGGAGAACAAGGAGCTGATAGGGGTGCTGGAGTGCATAAGAAGCAGAGATGACACACGAGTGTCAACGAAAGCACAAGTTGCTCTCCTGCCTTGCAAGGTTTGAACAGAGCTTCCACAGTCTTGAGATGGACACTTCCTTCAAGGAAAGGTTCTTCTACACATACGTCTTGGTAGGCTTAGGCACTGGTTGGACAGGGTGGGTCTCAGAACCTTCCAAACATCAAGAAACTGCTGATGAAGCCTGGAATAACAACACAATACACAGTTAGGCTTCACACACTCCTTTCGTTGTTCCTTCAGGAAAATCTTTTGAAAGAGAAATCATTCAAAATATGTATCTAATTTTTCAGTGGTTTTCTGTTTGGTTTGTGCTGTTTATTTTGGGTCCAAGCCTCTCCTCCCCACTACCCACCACATTCATTTTGGAGTTGGACCTCAGAAAGCAGCAAGTGTCTGGTCACTTCAGTTTACACTTAAGAGTTTAGTGCACTAGGCAAATAGTTTCAGGGTTGGGGTTGTATTTGCTACAGAAGAAAATGTACCCTTCATTTTATGCTGGTAGTTGTAGGTTCAGCTCGAGCTTCTTTTACAAAATTAAAGCTGTACTATCAAATTGTATGGAAGTAATGAGTAGTATATTGTTCTGATTTCAACTCCCTCTCTGCCCCTCCAATTTCAATCTATTGTCAAGAGCTGTACAATTAACTGCAAAATTATTTTAAAATTCAACTACTCCCAAATTTCATTTAGTGCCTTCGAAAGATCTATCAGGATTCTGTAAGTTTATTGAGATTTTTTCACATGCAAGAGAAAAAACTTGTTTGCCTAGGTAGTCTGTTTCACAGTCTCCAACAAGTCACAGGTTTTTGGATATGTTTTGTGCTGGATGGATCCTGAGTTATTTCTGCTAGGAGCTGCTACATCTGATGAAGTCCAGCAGAAAGAGTTTAGTTCTTGAGGGGTTTTCTTTTTTTGTTTTTCTTTTTTTTTTTTTTAAATGTAACTGGAGCCAGGCTAAATTTAGCTGAAAATGACATATTTCCACTGACTGGAACTCTGAGGAAAAAGGTCTTTGTATGTCAAGCTATTTACTGCTTTAAATGCACTTCATGGACCCCCCTGTATGTACCAAATCCAAAGGTCTGAACTATACAGAGAGTACTTAAAGCAGGAGGCAGAGGCAGATTCTAAAGGGATGCCTCCAGAAAAGCAGCTCCATGACCGCCCTACTCCAGCCCTGTGGGAGGACTTAGGTTCTTCTTTCCCCCCTCCAGCAAAGGTGTGGACACAGTCTTCAGCACTGCTTATATGCAGCTACTGAGGAGACAGAGAGGTCCTGCCTGGTGTTGGGAGCAGCAGAGCTTCACAAGTGATATCATTCTGCAGCTTCCTTAAACGCACGGCTCTTGTGAGCATTCAAAGGGCACGTGCAGACACCAAGAACAGGTACAGACACAACACAGTGAGGCAGGATGGGTTCCTAAGCATAGTCTGGACCACACAGCTCTGGAGCATGCTGCACAGGAAGCACACACAGCCCAGGGCATCAGAGCCTCTCAGACGATGGGCAATGTTTGCCAAGGACCAGTGACTGCCTAGAGCTGTTTTCCTCCTAGCCCTTCTGTTCTGTTCTCACGCCCATTCCTCTGCCCCACTGCATTATCCTTTAAGATGCCCAGCACCCTGAGAAATGCAGATGTATGTAAACACAAGGCCAGGCTGCATGGAGCTTTGAGCAACCTGATCTAGTGGAAGGTATCCCATGGGAAGGGATCTTTGAGATCCCTTTAAGATGATCTTTAAGGTCCCTTCCAACCCAAACCATTCTATGATTCTATTTGCTATGATAAGGAGCTTTTTCCCTTCTTTCACAAGAGCAGCAATGATTCCAGCTCAAATTCCCAAAACACAGAGCTAAGGGAGATGGAAGCACTTGGCCACGCAGAAGAGAAAACATCAAAGTGACTCTTTGGCATGTCACAAAACTCAGCAGCAGCTGCTATTCTCCCAAGAGAGTCATATTCCAAACACCAGCATTCAGGAGGCTGCACGAAAACAGGAACAGAGGGGCTACAAAACTGGAAGGAAGAGCAGGCACACCTTGCTTCAGACACCCACCACAGCACTGAGCTCAGCTCATACAATTTCTACACCATCAGTCTATGTGATGTCCAGTTGTCCTCATCTGCCAAGAGAGGCTTCTGACAGAGCACAGCAGAAATCCCCTCACTCACACCATCCAGTAGTCACTGGTCAGAACTGCCCAAACTTGTCCCAGCACTCAGAAAGAAACTTCAGATTGCAGATCTTTTTCCTGCTCTGGAAATAAAAGTCCAAAGACTGGGAACATTTAACTGGATGGTTACTAAAGCCTTAGCCAAAACCGAAGTCTTTTCCAAACACTTAGAGGGTCCATGTGAGAATGAAATAAGTTCTGAATGATTTATCACAGGAAAACACCCACAAGTTGCTTGTAAAATATAACATGGATGAAATTCAGGCAGCAGTCCCCAGGTTTTGGGGGAGCAGGCTCAGCCTGTGGAGCCCAGTGCCAGCCTCACCTAGGCACCCCACACAATGGAGGTGTCTGCCCCTTGCTGCCCCAGTGAGAACCTGGGGAGGCTCCACCACCAAGCTGCTGCCATTGCTTGGCAGCACCAAACCCCATCCTCACAAGAGGAAAGGAAACAACGCTGGGATCTCTGTGGATCAGCCCTGAAGGCAGCAAGAGGAAGCGAGGAGATCCTGGGATGAAAGCCCACAGGACCAGCAGTGGTGTGAAAGTCTCTGCTCCAGGCTGAGATGGAAAATCGCTCCCACTTCTTATCTGAGGGGGTCTCCCGGGCATTAGTGTGTGCAAACAACTGCTCCTGATAACTTAATGCAACATTACAATCGTCAGACACAAAAACATACACATTCACATAAAAGTATTGTCCCGAGATTTTCATTTCCATTTTGACCAAGGTTTTAAATAAACACATTAATCTCGTTCACTCAAATTAAATAACTCAACAGTGACATCAGTATGAGTCTGAGCACTATTGTTGCTAGCGGGAGAGTGGCCAAGACTATGTGTATAAAAGCAAAAGCCGTGCTCTGCAGACCATGTGATGTCGTCTCAGATAAGTACATTGCACAATTGCCTACCACACTCCCCCCAGCTTCTTCCCAAATCTTTTTTTCCCCAAATTCGACTGACACACGAAATATAAATGGTATTAAATAAACTAAACAGCTTTCAAATAATATTATTATCAGAACATCCTAGTTTAATGTTATTAAATTACATAATACTGGATACTGTTCAGCAGACTAAGCCCTGTGTTGCTAGGCTTAGATACTCCATTATGAAATACCTAGGCAGCGACTCTGCTCCAGGGCTGTAATGATAGGGATGTCAATTCACTATTTAATTCTAACAATCTTTCAGGACAGCAGTTGCTTAAGCTGTACATCTTTTGTAACAGGCAACTCGCCCACCCAGCTGGAAACTTCCAGCATTGAAATGTTTCAAAACCATGTTTGATGTGTTTCCCATGCTGATGATCCACCACATTTCTCGAAGTTCACAGCTTTAGAGTGGTGGTGGGGAGGGAAGTGTCACAGTTGTGATCTGTATCCCCACCACACGTATCAAGTCCTGGGCCACACCATGGTAGAGGTGCTGGTCTGGTCACCTCTGCCTCCCTCAGGGACAGCACGATGTGCTATCAATGAGTACCAGTGGCACAGCCCTCAGGGTACATCCCCAACCTGATTCCCTCCTCTGGGACTACAAGGAAGGCTTTCTCCATCTGTCAGGTAAGCAACTGGTCAACGCCAAACACGACCAATCTTCCATGCCATAGATCTTTATCCCATCACTGAGTTTAGCCTAAGGTCTGAAGCCTGCTTTAGGGAAGAGGCAGAAGATATATGGCATGTGCACGCAGCCACCCTTTTGACTCTGTAGTCTGTGGAAGGTGGGACTGGAAGTGCTTCAGCCCAATTCACTGGCTCCATTCTCTCTAAACATCAGGTGCCTACCTTAGCTGTGGCTACACCAGTGCTGGGGAACATTTCTGGGCACAGGAACTTGGTTATCTGTAGCATAAATCATTAATGCAGCATTTGGAATGGCTTTGGTCTGTGCCAGTAGCACTTTCCCAAGGAACTTGTGCACAGTTCAAGAGCTAGCAGGCACCAGGGGTCAATCCCATTAAGAAGTCTGCATAGAGCCATCCTGTTTTGGAGGGCAAGGCAGTCACAGAATCACAGAATCACAGAATGTTAGGGGTTGGAGGGGACCTCCAGAGATCATCGAGTCCAACCCCCCTGTCGTTGCATGGAATTAAGCCTCTCCATCCCAGTTGGCCTCAAGGCCAAGAACAGTACTGGGCATGTTTAATTTATTAGTGTGGAAACAGACTTTCAGTAGATTTCACTTGGCCACAGAAACATGTCCAGATTGTTGACACTCATATCTGACCTACTCATCCTCAAGTCCCTAAATACCTACTTGAGAAGAACATGTGTACACATGGCATGGATCATTCTACCTAAAAGTAAACATCTAGAAAAAAAAAATAGAAAAATTAGGCACTGCATACAGATAATGCTGGGTGAGACAAGTCTCATCTCAAGTCTGAATGACTACTAGGCAACATGGACATGAAGTGGAAAGGACTAGGATACTTTCTCCTACTCCTAAGCCCATTTTTCACACTTTGGTGTAGAATTCAACTGTGGGTCGTCAGGTCAACAGGAAAAAATGTGTTCCTCCAGGAACTCCACTGAAGCAGCTTCCACTGTGCTATTGAAGAGCTGGACATAGCAAGAACAGAGAAAAGCAGATGAAACACCATCACTGTGGGCTTACTGTTACCTAACTGGAGCCAGGTACTGCTGAAGTCAGTAAGAGCTCATGGAAATTAAACATGCTCTCCTTTGTGTCTCATGTGTCAGCACACTGACACCTCCACAACAGAAAGATTTGGGGAAATTCAGATTTCATTTAATGGAGAAAGGATTCACTGTGTTGGGGAAGACTTGTGTCACC